AATATTATATTATTAGATAATAATAATTTAGGAAATAAGTGGCGCCCAACATGGAGGCCTTCCTAAGGACTAAAATAAGGATAACTCCCACAGAAACTCAACGATCATTAGATTCGAAATCTGTATTACTTTTCTTTCAATTTTCAACAAATTTGCTTCTCTTGACTTTGAATTGTTCGTGAAACTTATATCAGAAGACTCCGGTGTTCTGAGAGTCCGAAATTCATTTCAGGAGCAGAGATTTGCCTATCTGTCATCTGTCATGGAAGTCAGTGCAAGGATCACAGAGAACGACAAACTTCGGTTTTGTCTCTGACCTGTCACTGAGGTACCATCCTAATCAATTAGAAGCTTGCCTAGAGGCTCATACGAATAGGAATATAGAGACGTTCTAACAGATAGATGTCCTAACCACGTGTGACTTCTGGGAAAGTCTAATTTCTCTCCTTTTCTGAGAGGGTAAACATTTTGGTTGTGATGTATTGGGTCCGATGCAACATAAGTGAAAGAATTACTACTCTCCCTAAACAGCTCAGCCGCCTAGAAACCTTAAGTTTTCAGGGCCTATTTCAAAAAATCATTTGAGAGATTCGATTAAAATTAAATTTCCCCCGACATTCGAGGATATCAGAAGCGAAGTTCAGTTAGTTGTATTATTTCGTACTTTTTCGATTTAACAGAGGTTAGGATAAATCAATAGGGAATAGGAAAAAAATAAAATTGTTACAAACTAGAAACATTACTTAGGCATGATGGGCTTGGATAGATCACCCGACCGTGGCTCTCAAGAAGCGCCAAAACTAGGTTGCCAACTTTGCAAAAACGAAATCAAATCCGCAGCCGAACTTTGTGAAACCACTTGTCATCACGAGTTCCACAAGAAATGCATCAATGCGCATTTTAGAAAAAGCGACAATTGCCCTGTATGCAAGAGTATCTGCAGGCCGGTAGTCGAAGGTCTTCAAACGCGATCTCAATCAAGATCCCGTCAGACAGAGAGTAGCCAGGAAAGGACACCTACTGACGACATCCCTAGCACTTCCCGAAACGCTGAGGCAGCTAACCTGAGGAACAACGATCCAGCCAGCATGGCAAATGCAATTACACTGCTAGCTATGGAGAGGAGACTGCTCACCATATTGACGGAGAAGATGGCCGAACTGGTGCAAACGTCCGTGTTAGACAGTATGGAAAGACTGATAGCAACGCCTGCCAACTCTGCCGTGAGCAGGGAAGTTAGATCATCCCCGAGGTTAGAGAACATACAGCAACCGAACATAGAGGAAACAACGGCTCCCACCACAATACCGACGATGCCAGCGGGATGCGCTATGTCTCCCCAACGAAGCACAATATCCGATCTAGGAATACGACCAGACAAAGTGGGACATATCCTAAATGGGTGGAAGCTCAAGTTCTCCGGAACCGGCGTGCCGATAGACGATTTCATCTACCGTGTGGAGGCACTGACTCATCAAACACTGGATGGGAATTTCGCGGTGTTGTGCCGCAACGTCAGCGTGTTATTTGAAGGTAAGGCTACGGAATTCTATTGGAGATATCACAAGTCCGTAGCTGAGGTCCGATGGGATCGGTTATGTTCAGCGCTCCGCTTACAATTTCGTCAAAACCGGGACGACGTAGATGTAGAGGAATTGATAAGAAACAGGAAACAAAAGCCAAACGAATCTTTTGATGCATTCTACGACAGTGTAAACGTACTGGTTGATCAATTACAAACGCCTTGGTCCACTCGAAAGTTAGTTCGCATACTTAAGAACAATTTGCGACCAGAAATACGTCATGAAATTCTGAATGTCGAGGCGGTAACGGTTCAGGAGCTCAGAGAGATTTGTCGACGGCGAGAGGCATTCCTGGAAGATGTCAAACGATCTCATGGCTATAACAGAGTAATTCCATTCCGGAGGGAAGTCGCGGAACTAGTCGACGAACCTGGTGCAGAAAGCAGCTCTGAGGTTGGAATTGAAGCAGATATCGAAGCACTCAGCTTGGTATGCTGGAATTGCCACCACGAAGGACACCGATATCAAGACTGTCTGGAGGAAAAACGAGTGTTTTGCTACGGCTGTGGTGCAGCCAACACCTACAAACCGAACTGTACGAGGTGTTCAAAAAACGTAAAGCTCGGCAGTTCGAAGTCGGCGTACAAACCGAGGACCTCGAATGCCGCTCACAACCAGACAACAATGACAGAGTAAACAGGAACGAGCCAAGAGGCATTCCTAAACCCACACCGGACGTCACACAAAGTAATGAAAGTTTATTGCTACACCAGAAAAGACAAAATTTACCTAAGATAACAAAGCTAGAAAGATTACCTGAGCCTCCTATTAGTTTGCGAAAGGACCGCAGTTCGAGAAGGATTAAAACATATTGGAAGAATATCGAAAAGTGTAAGAACGGATTGAGACACATATGTTCTGTTCCTTCTAGTAAAAGAGATCTTCGTCCGTTTCTGCCAGTTCAATTATTAGATCGCACCGTTTACGGACTTCTTGATTCAGGAGCTTCGATAAGTTGTATCGGGGATAAGCTAGCAGCGGAAGTAATGGAGATGGAGAACACTTACAAGTCAGTGAACATCAATGCCAGTACCGCAGATGGAAAAGCACAACGGATAACTGGCAAACTTACAACCAACGTGGTATACAACAACGTCAGCAAGCCGGTAGAATTATTCATAGTACCGTCTCTCAAGCAAGATCTATACCTAGGGATCGATTTTTGGAGGGCATACGATCTTTTGCCTAGAAGCTTACAGGTAGGCGAGGTAGACGTTAAAGAGCACAGCGTTAGCAATAGTGTCAAGCTGAGAGAGGATCACCACGACCTGACTGAAGAACAGAATCTAAAACTCAATATCGCTATTAACTGTTTCCCCTCATTTACACAAGAAGGCTTAGGAAAGACTCACCTGATAAAGCACACAATTGATGTAGGGGATGCCAAACCTATCAAGCAAAGGCACTTCCCTGTTTCTCCGGCTGTGGAGAAAAATATGTATGTAGAAATTGATCGCATGTTACAGCTAGGGGTGATTGAAGAGTCAGAAAGCGCCTGGTCTTCGCCAATTGTGATGGTTACAAAGCCAGGTAAAGTGAGACTTTGCTTAGACTGTCGTAAGGTTAACAGTCACACTATAAAGGACGCTTACCCACTTCCTCAAATCAGTGGGATATTGAGTAGGCTGCCAAAAGCCGAATACATTACAAGTCTGGATTTAAAGGATGCATATTGGCAGGTCCCGCTCGATGTCGAGTCCCGTGACAAGACTGCTTTCACCGTCCCAGGACGACCATTGTATCAATTCACGGTTATGCCGTTCGGATTATGCAATGCAACAAGCACCATGTCCCGACTCATGGACAAGGTTGTTCCAGCGCATCTGAAGGATAGAGTATTCATTTACTTGGATGATCTGTTGGTAGTCTCACCGAGTTTTGAGAGTCACTTAGAAGTATTAAAGGAAATAGCACATCATTTAAAACGAGCCGGGTTGACAATCAATGTATCAAAGAGCCATTTTTGCAAGAAAAGAGTCAAATGCTTGGGGCACATCATTGGGGATGGGGAAATACGAACAGATCCCGAGAAAGTCAAAGCCATTACAGACTTTCCTATTCCTAAAACCTTGCGCGCATTGCGTAGTTTCATGGGCCTATGTGGTTGGTACAGGAAGTTTGTGTCAAACTTTGCAGCGCTGTCCGCTCCACTAACTGATCTAATGACGACGAAGCGAAGATTCAGTATGACTCCGGAAGCGCTGAAAGCTTTCGAAGTGCTAAAAGGCCGACTTTGCGAAGCGCCTGTGTTATGCAATCCGGATTTCAACAAGCCGTTCGCCATCCATTGCGACGCTAGCAAGACTGGCGTTGGAGCTGTGCTAGTTCAGGAGACGGACGATGGGGACGAGAGACCAGTGGCATTTGTTTCAAAAAAGTTAAATAAAGCCCAACGAAACTATACGGTGACCGAACACGAATGCTTGGCCGCTATTGTAGCTCTCAAACAGTATAGAGCCTATGTCGAGGGGCATCCCTTCAAAATAGTCACCGACCACGCTTCCCTTAAGTGGCTAATGTCGAATAGGGACTTAAGTTCACGTCTGGGGAGATGGGCAATAGCTTTACAAAGATTCCAATTTAGCATCGAACATAGGAAAGGATCGCTGCACATCGTGCCAGACTCCCTGTCACGCGTGAATGAGGATGAGGTCGCAGCTATAGATTTGCAGGAAGGTTTGCTAGTTGATCTGAAATCAGAACATTTTTCGTCAACAGAGTACAAGGATCTTGTAGCCAGGGTGTCGGCGAACAAAATAAACTTTCCAGATCTTAAGGTAGAAGATGGTTTCGTGTATAGAAAGATGTGTCATCTGACGGGAGAACAGGTTCACGATACCTACGCCTGGAAGCTGTGGATTCCTCGAGAAATGATACCAGAAGTTCTTTCCCAAGCACATGACAGTCCGCTAGTTTCCCACTGCGGAATTCATAAGACGTTGGAGCGTTTGAGAAGATATTACTTCTGGCCTCATCTAGTATCCGATGTAAAAGCCTATATCAATGCCTGCGAGACGTGCAAAGCGATTAAAGCTCCCAACCATGTGATGAGGCCACCACTAGGAAAAGCTGTTGAAACAACAAGATTCTTTCAGCGACTTTTCATCGATTTTCTGGGTCCGTATCCCCGCTCGAGAAGTGGAAACATCGGGATATTTATCGTCTTAGATCATTTTTCTAAATTCGCCTTCTTAAAACGCGTGAAAAAGATAAACGCAGACATCGTGATTAAATATTTGGTAGGTGAACTCTTTATGACCTTTGGCGTCCCCGAAACTATTGTGTCGGACAACGGTTACCAATTCCGATCGGTAGCGTTCCAGAAACTGCTTCGCCAATTCGGAATTTCACACACCTTAACAGCCGTTCATTCGCCCCAAGCCAACGCCTCCGAGCGAGTAAATCGATCCATCATCGTGGGAATAAGGGCTTACGTATGTCCCGATCAAAGGAACTGGGATGAGGGTTTGAGCAAAATTTGCTGTGCTCTGCGCTTTTCCATTCATTCTAGTATTGGAACCACACCATATTATATGGCATTCGGGCAACAGATGGTGACTTCCGGCAATACGTATTCCCTGTTGAGGAAGCTAAACATGCTAGACGATCGATCTGTGATGTATAACCGACAGGATTCGTTCGAGTTAATCCGAGAAGAAGCCACCAAACAGATGCAGAAGGCGCACGAGCGCAACGAAAATCGTTACAATTTGCGCTCACGAGTAGTAACTTTCAGCGAAGGGCAGGAAGTCTTTCGTCGCAACTTTAAACAAAGCTGTTTCAAAACAGGGTTCAACTCAAAGTTAGGTCCGGCGTTTATCAAAGCACGCGTAAGGAAGAAGATCGGGAAGTCCTACTACGAGCTAGAGGATTTGCAAGGCCAAAGGATAGGAGTCTACCATGCCAAGGATATCCGTCAATAGCGTCCCTTCAGGCGTTATCAGCCTAGGGTCTACATTGGAATACCCTAGTCTGATTGTGGGAGGGGGAGTTTGTAACGGCGCCTGAAGCGACCTATACTTAAAGACAACGAAGAGTCGAATTTGAATTTAACCGTCAATAAATAAACAAAAATTATCCCATTCATCGAGAGATGCCACGTAGGCGAATCATCGGCCAGCTGATCGCGAATTGATCTGGACTGGTCACTCTAAGAGAGGGTAAGAAATGGCGTGGGAGAAGGCAGCCGGTCTTTTCAATTTGGAACTCGCGACAAGTCGGACGTGCAAAGAGCAAAAATTAAAACCCTTCCTTTTCTTGTGACCGTTTTCCACGCGGGTTGAATTTGGCACGCGGTCGCACAATTGCGGCATCGGGCTCGGAAAAGCCGAAAAACCGCGGGATCTTCGACAAGTGCAAGTGGTTAACCGGCGAGTGCAAGTGGTTAACCGGCGAGTGCAAGAGGCTAACCTGCAGCAGCACAAAAGTGGCCCAGGAACACGCGGTCACGCGGCGCCGTACCAGAGCGCCTAATCCCGTTAATCCGATCCCGACCACTCTGCAAACTTGGCCAGGAGAACGAGAACCCTGACGCACGGGGCCCACGTTTTCCCGTAACCCCGAAGAGATCCTCTCGGAAAAAAAAAAACCTCTTGGGAAAGCGGGCCTCGGCACGGAAAATCTACCCGGAGTCCCGCACGTGAAAAGCGGGAGAGAGAGAGAGAGAGAGAGAAATCCACGTGGGACCGCTGAGCCCAGCGAGAAAGGAGGAACAACGGAGAGAAGCGAAAACCGATGAGAAGCTCGGACCAAGAAGGAGGCAAAATCCACCACGTGTTCCGCGCAGAAGGAGAAGCAAAAAAAAAGATGAAAAGGAACAAAGATTAGTGGACTCGAATAAAGTCAAATAAAGTTTAGTGGACAAAAAGCGGAAAAAAAAAAAAAAAAAAATGTGAAAAGAGACCTCGTGGTGAATAGGAAAAGAAGCCAAGATCATGGAGAATTAGAAAAGAGTTTAAGTTTGAAAAGAAAAAAAATCATTAATAAAGGAAATATGAAAAAGAAAAGAGTGAATTAAGAAATAATTAAATGAAGCTTAAGTTGACGCTAGTGTTAAGGGAAAAGACATAAAAATGAAGAAATATTAAGTTTAATGAAAAAACAAATTTTTTTTTTTAGAAGAATTTAAGCAAACTTATTTAAATAAAAAAAAAAAAAAATTTAAGCCATCATTATTTTTTTTAGTGAAATTTATTGTTAGCATATATTTTTTTTGATTTTTTGGATGTTAAGTGCCCTAACGGAAAAAAAGAAGAAGAAGAAGGAATAATTGGAAGAAGATGCGTGTCGGAAAAGAAGAGCGAAAGCAATAAGTGCAGTTTGATTTTTTTTTTTTCTTTTGTTGGTTGGATTGAAATACAAAAGAAAGTACAGTGGTATGGATCAGAATTTTTTTTTAACAAAAAAAAAAAAAACAATAAAAATAAAAATGAATGAAAAAGAAATGAAAAATAAATGAAATTTAAAAATTTATAATTTGATGCAATACAAAAAAATGGAAAATTTCTCAACAATTTGAAACATAACCCCTAATCCACACCTACAGCCACCAACGCTAAGAGGTCGACCTTTTCGCCGAGGAGAATCGTAGGTCAGAAATTTTCCATTGTCATTGATGAGAGAAGAAGATATTGAAATGAAGTTTAAATTTGGTTGAATTAAAGAAGTTAATTTACTATGAAATTTATACGTTTAGTTTTCCTTTTATTTTCCCACCGTACGCTCAACCTTAGATAACAAACAAAACTGAGAATAAAAAAAATTTTTGAACAAATTAATTTTCCTAAACGATAAACAACCATGCAGCCTAAATTTATTAGAAAATTACGTTGGAATTTATTAGAATACAAAATACAAATACATTATTAGGAAAAAATACAATATTAATAACTAGCAGTACCCTGCCACGTTTCGCTGTGGCATATTGTTGTTGCACGCATAAAAAATAAGTCAAACAAAAAAGAATAATTTTCAAATTAATTAAATTCTGTAATACTTGTGGGTATACAATATTCTTTGTTTCTCCTCCTCAATCATTCATTATTATTTCTGTATTTTAGTATATAGGTTGCTCTTCACTCAAGCACCTTGTGATACACGACATTTTTTTTTTTATTATCAGGCGCAAAAACAAACAACGCAGATGGTTTTCCGACCCGTGAACATGCCACGTATAATTGACCATGGGAAAAACATGAATGTTCTAGATTTAAACCACAAACTTTTAAGGATTGGGCTTGTGATTTGTTGATTGTCATGGCAAATGCAAGACGTATCGGAAATTGAAGTCTTTTAAATTCAAACGGCATATCGGTTGGGATCATCGGGATCCTCGGAATTAGAACTTCCTCACCTTTGAATTTTCCTATCATTATCGTAGCGTAAATTACATTGTTCATCAATTTACTAACCACCAAACGCGTACCGTTGCACAGTTTTGGTTGGTTTATGTTTCGAAGCATGATTACTACGGAGCCAACCTTTAGGCGTAAATTGTGCGGGGGTAAGCCAGGCACGTCCAAAGAGTTTAAAAATTCAATTGGATAGTTGGTGGCTTCATCTTCATTTGTGACGCAGTCAATAGATTTGAATGAATGCATTGTTCCAATGATCTTATTTTGAATTATGTAGTTCAGGTCATCTACATCTTTATTCTTAGCCGCTAAAATTGCTCGCTCACTCAACCATTCATTATTTTTGTAGTTAGAAATAATATTTGGAAATACATTGTTGATAAGTTCGTCTTTTGATGAGACAAAATTACAAAAATTATTTGGAAATGATATTAATCCGCTCGATTCATCGACAGGTACTTGACCATTACCGATAGTCAGAAATTGCTCCGAGAAATCTTCAGCAGATGTATCATTAAGCAATGTAACTCTCATGTTTGTTATCAGCTGCAGTTTCTTCACATAGCGCCATAGATTTGACGATTTGAGGGAAGCGTTTATTTCGTCGGCAGCCGCAGATCTTGGAATTACTGGCAACTTCACTTTATCATTAACGCAGCATAATCCAGGCGTTTCTCCGGAAAACTTTAATGCACCACAATACTCGCAAACAACGTCCATTTGCCCAATGCAAACGCTAGGATGCAAGCTGTAATCATTGCTGCAATCGTATCGAAACGCAGCTCGATTCAAATCAGCTAAAATTTTTCGTCGCATATTAAAATCTATTTGAGAAGCACGAAGTCGAGCCTTACTATTGCGGCTCTGTTCACGTGCAATTTCTCGTTCTTCTTCAGTCCTTTCATATGCAGTATTTTGTATTCTTCTTGCATTACGGCTTTGTCGGGAAAGATTCGATCGTCTTGGTCGCGGCATTATTAATTAAACTTCACTTCACTTCAATCCACTTGTTAATTATTTATTTAATAGAAATAGTTTTAATATTGATTTCTTACAAATATCAATAGAGAGTGCAGAGGCTCTAGTGGTGCTTCAAGTTGAGGCAATTTCACTTTCCCGGAAGCGCAACACAATCTTTTTGGTTCGTTGTTAAATTTGAGAGCCTGACTATGAATTTGACTTCGTTTGTAACTGACATTTTGACATTTGACATTTTCTTCTTAGCTGTCTGCCTAAATAAAAAAGTATGGGCCAGGGAGGAACGCTGTCGAACGGGACAAAAAGTATCCTATGTCCTTCTCCTGGCTCTAAGCTACCTCCCTACCAATTTTCACTCAAATCTGTTCTTCCGTTCTTGATTTATAAGTGTTGTAACATAAAACACGTTGTTCTTTTATATATATAGATTAAACTAACTAAATAAATAAAATAAGAAATTTTTCTTAGGATTGATAATTTTCTTCAGTACTTTGTAAAATTGATAGAATAAATATTACTTTACTTTAGGATAGGATACTTTGTAAAATTGATAGCTATGTTGATTAAGAGATTTAAATGAAATTATTATGAATAAAATGTCACTGTAAATTTAACTAAAGAACTTCGCCAATGAATCCTCGCGTGTAGAGGGGGAAAAGGGGCCACGAGAGTAACACTCTTCTGCTGTGGCCAAGGTAGGGTTGGGGAATTTAGAGAAAGGACACACCAACAGCAGTGATCCTTCATAGAACCTCTCGAATCGTATTTCCGTCCTGTTTCCAATTTTTCTTTCAAATTTTATGATCGCGAATACCGGCTTAGATCTCTAGCGGAGATTAAACACGTCTCTCTGTCGCAGCACGCAACCTTTCTTATATGCCAAATTACTATTATCCGACGTTGCAACTTCGGAAGGACCTGTCCCAGCAAGACCACCACCCCCCAAGCCGACGAGCTAGAGCCGGATCCTTTCAGCGTGCCCGCGAGCACAGGTCCTACCTCTGTCCATACCCCGTTGCACGTTACAACTTGTGACCTGCTTATACCATAGCTGGTCGTTCTCCGGCCATTTGTACTCAACAGCTTCGCCTTTTCTGGAGCATGTTCCTTTTATTCCAGCTCTTTTTTCGTCCGTATTCTTTTTCCAAGGGACTGGCCCTTCCTCAACGCAGCTTGTCCTTTTTTAGCTCTAGATCTGTGCCTTGATTTTCTGTAGCTGGCTGTACCTAACAGATTCTCGTTTAACATGCTCCTGATTTAGCTTATCCATTTTCTTATCCTTCTCCATCGTAGCTTGTTCTTTTCCGGGTCCATAAATACGTCCTGCATCTTCCACAGCTGCTCGTTCTTGGACCGTTTGTACGCAACAGCTTTTCCTGCATTTGTACCCATTTGTCCCATTTCCGCCCATTTGTATTCAACAGCTTCGCCTTTTCTGGAGCATGTTCCTTTTTTTCCAGCTCTTCTTCATCCCACCTTCACATTTCTAGGGGCTGGCTCGTCCCGAACGCAGCTTGGCCTTTTTCAGGTCCAGATCTGTGCCTTGATTTTGCTATAGCTGACGGCCGGTGTACCTAATAGCTTCTATTTCAGCATGCTTTTGATTTAGCATAGAGGTCAGCAGGAATACATTTTTATGCCTCAGCCATAGAAAACATCCGAATTGAATAGAATGAATGAGTGCAAGAGACACAACGAATTGAGTGAGAGGGAGTGAGAGTGACCCTCATGGGAATTCTCTTGCTTTGAAACCGAGTGAGTTGGGGTGGGAAGTAAAATGAGTACTTTTGGAATGAGGAATGCAGCGAAAGGTCAATTATGATGAAAGGGTTTTAACTGTTATTATTTTCTTAGTGTTTTTTGTTTAGTTTTCTTAAGGGGTTATATACCTTTTGTGTAGCAATTATTTTATGACACTGAAGTTATTATTTATTGATAGAACATGTTTTAAAAAAAAAAAAAAAAATATGAATAATTTACGAATTGCCATAACAATTCTCTCGGAACCCTTTTTTTTATAGCGGCTTGCGGTGACCACGATGGAAGTCCAGCAGGTCAACCGAAATCAAAAAACCAAAAATTTTGTATTAGTATACTATTATTTCCACTTCGTGAACGATTATTTTCAAGAATATTTGGTTTTTTCTGCATACAGTAATAATTTTTCCAAAAAATTCGTTTTTCGAGTTCTAAAAATTTTATAAAAAAATTCTTATCTGCGAAATCAAAATTGGCGCAAAAAAACTGAATCGTTCACGAACTCGGCACAATCATTACGAATAATTTTTAAAAAAAATTGAAGAAGATCGATCAAATAGTTCTTGTGCAATCGTGGTCACAGCGAAGGCACTTTTGGAAAAATACGACTTTGAGATAAAAGCATTCAAAGTTGCTTGACGCTGTCCGCCGCCGTAACGAACCGCGCCTCAAAATGCTGTTTTCCTATCGAACTATTATTTGGATCTCTATGAAAATTTGGGAAAATATTCTCTAGGGGATATACTTTAGGATTCAGCAAAATAAAATTTTTCTTATTTTTGAAAAAAAGGTATATAACCCCTTAAGTTTTTTCAAATTAAATTATTTATTAATAAATATTAAAAGTATTTTTACATTTATAGAAGTAAAATATGTAAAATAAAATATACAGCATAAGGAATATTTCTGAAAAAAACAAAGACTTACTTTTAAATTATTTTATTATCAGCGTCTAATAATACAGACAAATATGCATAGTTGTATCGTACATTCTAGAATGTATTCGAAACAATTCCAATGGGAACTGTAACTCTAACTCATTTAATTCTGTTTTCATCCCCCGAATGTTGTGCGAGTGAGACCTACATAGTCGCACTCACTCTCATTCATTAATTTTCGTCTCAGCATTATATCTCACTCAATTCATTTTCAAGGTTGTGCATTTGAATGTCGTTTTTTAGCTATTCATGCAACCTCTAATTTAGCAGGCAGTTTCGTGACCCCTTCTTCCTCACATCTGCGCATCTGCAAACGCGGCAAATCTGCACATTCCCAGGTTGTGTCCCTTTCCCAACGCAGCTTGTCATTCTCCAGGTCCAGACCTGTGACCTGCTTCCTCCATAGCTGGTCGTCCTTCAGCCGTTTGTAACCAAACCTTCACATTTTCTGCAGCATGTTCCTTTTATTCCAGCTCTTCTTCCACCCATCTTCACATTTCTAGGGGCTGGCCCGCCCCAACGCAGCTTGTCCTTTTGCAGCTCTAGATCTGTGCCTGGATTTTGCTATAGCTGGTCGTCTGCGGGCGTTGTACCTTATAGCTTCTCTTTTAACATTTTCCTGATTTAGCAGGCTTGTTTGTGGCTCCCTCTTCCGCACATCTGCCTCTGCCGTTTTTAGGTATTATAGACGTTTTCGCTCTAACTGGTCGATTCGTTACTGGACGTTTTTTATTCCAGCTCTTCTTCCTCCCATCTGCACATTCCTAGTGGCTGGCCCCTGTACAACGCAACTTGTCCTTTTTTGGCTCCAGATCTGTGCCTTGATTTTGCTATAGGTGGTCGTCTGCAGGGCGAGACATTATAGCTTCTCTTTTAACATTTTCTTGATTTAGCAGGCTTGTTCGTGGCTCCCTCTTCCGCACATCTGCCTCTGCCGTTTTTATTATAGACGTTTTCGCTCTAACAGGTCGTTTCGTTACTGGACGTTTTTTATTCCAGCTCTTCTTCCGCCCATCTGCACACTCCTAGTGGCTGGCCCCGCTACAACGCAACTTGTCCTTTTTTGGCTCCAGATCTGTGCCTTGATTTAGCTATAGCTGGTCGTCTGCCGGGCGTTGTACCCTAAAGCTTCTCTTTTAATATGCTCCAGATTTAGCAGGCTGCTTCGTGGCCCCTTCTTCCGCGTATCTGTCCTTCCCTCTTATATTAAATTCGATTAGCTTTTGGACGTTTAGGGTCGTTTTCTAGAGGCCAAACGTCCAAGAGCGAAAGAAGAGCTGGAATAAAAGGAACATGCTCCAAAAAAGGCGAAGATGTTGAGTACAAATGGCCGGAGAACGACCAGGTATGGAAGAAGCAGGGCACAGGTCGGGTCCTGGAGAATGACAAGCTGCGTTAGGGAAGGGCCAGCACCTGGGAATGTGCAGATGGGAGAAGAGCTGAAATAAAAGGAACATGCTCCAGAAAAGCTAAAAGTTTGCTTACCAACGGCTCAAGGACGATCCGCTATTGAAGAAGCAGGGCACAGGTCTGGTCTTGGAGAATAAAAAGCTGCGTTGGGGCTGCTAAATCACAAGCATGTTAAAAAAGAAGCTGTTAGGTGCAAACGGCAGGCACACGAACAGGTATGGAAGAAGCTATGTAAATACTAGCTTTAGCGTTCTAGCGTCCCCAAGCGCTACTTTGGGGACGGGCCAGCCACTAAGAATGTTCAGATGGGCGGAAGAAGAGCTGGAATATAGGGAAAGTCCAGTTAGGAAACGACCAGTTAGGAGCGAAAACGTCTATAATAAAAACGGCAGAGTCAGATGTGCGGAAGAGGGAGCCACGAACAAGCCTGCTAACTCAGGAAAATGTTAAAAGAGAAGCTATAAGGTCACACGCCATGCAGACGACCAGCTATAGCCAAATCAAGGCACAGATCTGGAGCCAAAAAAGAACAAGTTGCTTTGTACAGGGGCCAGCCACTAGGAATGTGCAGATGGGCTGAAGAAAAGATGGAATAAAGGGAACGACCAGTTAGAGCGAAAACGTCTATAATAAAAACGGCAGATGCAGATGTGCCGAAGAAGGAGCCACGAATAAGCCTGCTTAATCAGGAGCATGTTAAAAGAGAAGCTATAAGGTACAACGCCCGGCAGACGACCAGCTATAGCAAAAGCCACTAGGAATGTGCAGATGGGCGGAAGAAGAACTGGAATAAAGGGAACATGCTTCAGAAAAGGACAAGCTGTTGGGTACCAACGGTCGGAAAACGACCACCTATGCACTATGGTCCAAAAGAACAAATTTTTGGCATAAGTGATATTTCTTTTTGTGAAATAATATAATTTTTCTTGTTGGTATCTTTAATACTGAAATGATATAAAAAAAATTTTGTAAATATTTTTTCAGTGTCCAGTGTCGTTTTTTTCAGCTAACCTTCGCTAAAGCGAGCATTAAAAGTGTCTTTGTAGAAAATAAAGATCAAAGCATGTAAATTTATAATTTTAAAGGATTTCCTATATTTATCTATGTGTCTGTTTTTTTGTCCAATGTGTTGCAAATGTGTTATTCTAGTTAGTTCTAACAAAATTACATCTGTTCTGTTAATGTTTTCTTTTAAGTGCCTCCGTGTGCCTTAAAGGTAAACCTTAAAAAATTACTATAGTCAATGTTTAGTAATCGTATTCGACTGTTTTTCCCTAGTTCTATTATGCAGCGCTCCTCGAAGTTTGGGAAGGGAGCAACCAGAAAGACGACGCTGTTAGATTATTAAATCTTATAACTAATGGGAACTATATTTAGTAAAAGTTTGTTATTTTTATGAAAAAATTTATTTTATGTAAAAAGTAAGTAAAAATGGAAATATGGCCCACTCTTGATGTAGGCGGCGGTCAAATTTCAAAAACAATAAAATTCGAAATTCGACAAAAATAATTCAAACATATATGTTTGCAAAATTTATTCCAAAAAAACGGCGTTTCGGACCATAGTGAAAAATCCAGGGTGAGCTGTCAAACCAATTTTCAACGCTGCGGCGAACCCAACAGAAACAGAGGATAGTGCCTGGGAAAAGATAACAGAATCTTAGGAGAAGATAGAAGATAAGAGAATCTGTAAATCAAGAGGGATAATTTTTTCTTCATGGCTATGGTAAAGGGCGACGGCAAAGCTGGCTTACATTAAAAAGCGAAAGCTAAAAGTGTCATGCGACACCACATTGCAAAGAACCCATTAAATTCGTTGAATATTAAAGAACATTGTTTATTTGAATTTTGATGATAAAAATTAGTATGAACTTATAATTAGCTGATATTTATTATATTCCGTCTTATTATATCTTGAAAGACAATCATTTGTGCACATAGCACAATATATATATTTTTGGTAATGAGTTTAACACATATTAACAACAAAGAATTTTAATGTCTAATAGGCTACCCAAACCAATTTTTCTATAGAAAGTATTTATTTTTTCAAGCGGTTAAGTATATCTATTTTTTCCAATTTTGTTTGGTAGATTTAAAACCTACATACATATGTTTTAAAAAGCTTTTATATTTTAAAACATTAATAGATTTCAAATGTTTTTTTCTCCGTGGTAAGAATGTTTGGGGGTATTCTAGTTTACAGGTATTATAAGTGTCGTAAAAATTTTTCCTTTAAATGGTTTTAAAAAAGGTTTTTTCTTAATTTGCAAATCTTAAGCTCCGAATGTTTTAAAATAATAATTCTTATTTAAGATGCCGGAGAAATTATTTTATCAATCTAATTTGTTTACTTTCTGTTTAATTTTATCTGCTTTAAAAAACAGGTTCCATCGCTCACAATTTAATAAAATTTCAAATATTAAATATAGTATGCCGTACAATTTTTCACAATCACAATTTATTTTTGTGATTTTTTTTTTCATTTTTTACATATATCTAACGAATAAAATAAAAAACCTGCATCGCCTGTTATCATTGGAAAACGTATTTTCAAAAAATAAAATTTTTTAAAGTTTACCAATTTTGCCAAAAAGAGTAATTTTGTTCCTTTGTCCATACCTGCATTTATGTATTTGAAAGAATCAATAGAATTTTTTTATTTGGAATATTCCAAACCGACAAAAACGAGATCACTGCATCACTGATCATTTTGTTGAAGACGTTTCTTACAACGGCTACAGAAGTTGAATAAAAAAATTTTTTTACATGATCGAAAAAGTTGATTTAATAATATGTAAGAAAATATTAAAAGAAAAATATTAAAGAAAATTTAAATTAAAAAAAAAAAAAATGAAAGTAGAATACAATTTATCGATAGTTTCAAAAATGTTACCTATTAGAATAAAATATGGTAAGTTTTATGGTTTTTTTTAGATGTATGCGAAAACTAAAAGGGAAGGAAACCTATGTCTGCTCTCAAGTTAACTCTCAAAAGCACAAGCCGGGCATTTTCGTTTTATACATGGTGCTCCATCTTTTATGTCGGCATGTAAACATGGAATAACCTTGAGAAAAAGCAACCGATTTCTATTAATGATGTATTTTTATTCAGTTTGGATCCTTGCAACTTTTTTCGGCTAGTTTTTGAAAAAAAATATCAATAAAGTGTCCAAAAATATTACAAAATATTAAAGCAATTACAAAATATTTATTATCATTTATAGAAATCGGTCGTTTTTTCTCAAAGTTATTCCATGTTTACATTCCGACATAAAAGATGGAGCACCCTGTAGTGAATTTTGCTTGCAGGGATTGTCCATGGAAATTATATTTGATTTGTACCGAATGAATATTAAAGTCAAAGGGTTTACTAAAATTAATATCCAGTGTATTTTACAAAGACACTAAGATATTTAACATACACAAAAGTGCAAGCCGAGCCTCAGAGGCCCGATGTCTCTTAGGGCGTCAATGTACCATAACTGCAAAATAGGAAAAATAAAGTATTCATACCCAAAGAATTCCTGCCAAACAAACAGCGGGCAGAAGGAAGCAATTTGTTCGGTTTTAGACAGACGGGAAAACTTTAGATCATTTTCCAAAAAAAAAATGTTGGCTCATGTTTTATAAATAAAAAGCTCTCGTAATTCTACCTTGTTGCCCCCAAAACCTGCTGTATTTTCTGGAATTCTTGAAAAGTATGATAGGTATGAGAATGAAATTTCAGCCAGTTGCCAGTACAGTCTATTGAAGCTACACAATTGGGGTGATCCAATTCGTCCGAGTGAAGGGGCAAGGGAGAAACCGCTATAATGGCGAAATTTTGACGGCATCGTGGTGAAAGTCGAAGAGTCCGTAATAAAAACTCTGAAATGCAAAAGACGAATAGGTCCTTAGTCTGTAGACTTTTCGGCATCCGTGGTACTAAAATTAAAAAAAAACTTTAAAAAATTGAAGAAATTTCAAACAATTTTGTTATTTTTTAAAATAAACAATTTTTAGACATTTTTGGTATCACGGAAGAACATTTATGACGATTGCTCAACTTTTGTGACCTGTAGGACTTCCACCAACTCGAGAAACATGGTTTCGAGATAAACGCGTTTGAAATTTTGAAAACGCTGACCCCCGCACTTGACACCAGTTCATCAAACGGCCGACAACTTTCGTAAGTTAAGAAATTACGACGCAAAACTTGAAGAATAAATTAAAACATGTATCTATCCGGAAATGCAAAAAAAAAATTTAATTTTTTTAAAAGCTAGTTAAAAGGTTGAAACATCCTTTATTTTCATGCCAAAGATAATGTTTTCTATTTTAAAGTGTTCTCATCATAAATTGTAAAACTAAAACTTTTAAAAATCTGTTTAAACGTTGCACTATAGGCCGGATGACTTTTTCTTGCCAAAATTAATAACTACTTCTAAACGAAACAAAATATTTGGGTTCTGTTTTTTGATTTGGGTTCTTAGTAAGCTAAGGAACATATTTTGAGAAAGTAGGCGTGGCACCGCCACCTCTGGGCGGAACTAGATTTTATGTTTTCCAAAGTTATATAAAAGTAGATAACAAAAAAATATAACTTAAAAACAAACAATATTAAGGTCTGGTTTTTTTATTTTGGTTTTTCATAAGCTTAGGTATTTCTGGCAGGAACTATGGACATGTTTTCTACAATTGCTACGCCCGAACCGTTTAAAGTAATTATTATTAAAAAGGCCTGAAAGGTAAAATAAAATCTAAACTGTTTCACATGCGCACCTAATCAACATCTTCTTCGGTCTCAAGTTCCATTTCCCTGAACTCAAGTGGATCGTCTTCAATATTTTACTGATACTGATCATCAGCGCTCCTTAAGGGGTTACGCCACCCTGACCGCGTGGAAACGGGACGGGTTTTCAGGAATTTCTTGTGACTAAACTAGTTGAGATTTCTATTCAATAAAACTATTAACCTTTATAAATTCTAAAAAAAAACTTTTTTTCTATGCAAAATGGCGGAGATATGAACATCGGCGATCATCGGTTTTTCCGGAGTGCTCCTTGATGGTGGGCATGATTCACGTGTCAATTTTCATCTCAATCAAGTAAACAAAATTTTTTTTTAAAAAGTGATAAATTTTGAACTGAGTGACGTAGCCGTTTAAGAAAAAAAAAAAATTACGCAAATAAGAGCACTTCAAAAATTGACTCAATTTTTTGGGCAAAAAATTTCGTACTAAAAATTGCATAAAAAAATTTCTATCCATTGGATCGAAAATCGTCACAAACCTACGTCACTCTGTGGAAAATCTATGTAAGAAGATGTGTTTCAATTTTCAAGTCAATCGGTTGAACAGTTTTTGAGTTATCATACCCACCGTCTTGAAAAAAGTGGCTTCGAGAAAAACGCAAAAGAATAAAAAGAAGTGTCTTAGGTGCCCTCCTGCCGTGCCGACTTCAAGTAAACATAACTTCCATAATTATCAAGATATTGTCTTCGGGGACGTCTTAAAATACGCGTAAGAATATAGTCTTTTAAATTAAGTAAAAAAAATTGAAATTTTTTGAAAATTTCAGGGTGGCGTAACCCCTTAAGGGACTGTGGAGCAATTCTAATACTGTTTTTGGAAGAAGATATCTTTAAACTTTTGCTTCGACTGTTTTTTCTCGCATGCTTTTTCTCGGCTTCAAATACAGAACCAGCTATAGAAACTTTGTATCTAGCCAATATTGCATACTCTTTCGCACATTTGGTAGCAGCAGATCTCCAAACATCGAAAAACTCCATGTTGGCAAGCCTGAGGTTGCGACCTTAAAAAGTGAATTACGCAGAAAGTGCGCAAAAGGGCACTTTAATATTACATTCATATGAACAAGAATTGAATTACCTTCAATCCAGTATAAATATTAAGGCCAAACTAGCTCAAAGACCGTTTATATCTCTAACTAAACATTAGTTCTTGTTATAGATTAACACACACAAAAGCTCTGTTAAAAACACTCAATTACAGGGACAATCCCAAACAAACCAATATTTGAGAATTGAAAACATATAGTACAAACCACTCTCTTTCGATGCCATAACAACTTTTTTATAAATTACTAAGTTTAGTGCCTTTTTTATTAGCTTTAAGTGGACTCTTTTTTCCGATAACAAGCACACGTGATCACGACACTCCGAACAGCTGTTTTTGAAAGCCGATAACTTAACGGAGCGTAACTCTGTCAAAATTTCTGTTACGTAATATTGAAGTCTGATATTATACTAATATAACGTCATCATAAAATCTTAATTATAAGAACTTTCGAAAAATGGGTTTTTGGCCAGAAAAAGTGGTCATCCGGCCTATAGTGCGTTGTTGTGGTAAACCAATTACACAGTGCGAAAGTGATTTGGAACTTTTCAAAAGGCCTAATAGGAATTTTTTATTAGGTCGAATATAGTACAAAACCGTGTTTGAAATATTTCTAACACCCTCAAAATCTCGATTTATTTAGAAAAAAAGGCTTTTCGGGACTTTTTTGCTCTGAAAAATTTCTTAACGCGTATTATTAGGCGGATTTTAAAATTTCAAACGATTTTTAATAGTTAAATGTTGTAGCTTTTGAAAATAAAAATATATCTTTAATTAATTAAAACAAAAGGGATAAAATTTGGTACAACATTTAACTAGGTAAAAACGTCGGAAATTTTAAAATCGGTTTAAAATTACGCGTTAAGGAATTTTTAAGCGCAATAAAGTCACAAAAACCCGTTTTTTCTATATAAATCAAGATTTTGAGGGTGGTACAAATATTTCAAACACGGTTTCTTATTATCGATCCTAATAACCTAATAATCCTAATGACCTAATAAACAATTCCTACTAGGTCTCTTTAAAAGTTCCTTCAATTTTATTTTTTTTGTCGCACTGTGTTGTGCGACAAAATAATTTTATTTTTTAATTTTTGATGATCCAGCTTGGAGATGATGGGCTTAAAAATTCACTCTTTGTTTAGAATAATTACAGACATGGTTGTATTTCTTTATTTTTTTTGTACTTAATAGTTTGATTCATGAAAATTTTACACAATAAAATTAGCTAATAATGCCATCATACAAGATATATAAAAAATGTGCTCTCATTATTCCTCCTTAAACACAAGCTAAAATTATTAACCATAAAAAATTCAATACAGTTTTCATCCTATTATACGGGAGAATGGTGTATGTCATAAAAACTCAGCCGTTTTGAAGCTTGAAATGGTCAAAATCTTTACTTTTAGAATCAAAAAGGCATTTCAAAAATATGGAAATATACGAATTGATTTATAAAATATACATAGCTATATATAAATTAAAAAATATAAGTTTGTTTTCAATACATATGATTACAATCAATACACAAAAACCAATATTTAAAATTTTACCTGAAATTGAAACAAAAATACAACTTTCATTTCATTTTACTGTCAACCGAAAAAAAATAGTCCTCTTATAATAATACGAAGAAATTATAATCCAGTTTAAATAATACAAAAATGGTGGGTGTAATCAGTAAATCACAAATTTGTTTTAGTTTTACATTTAGACTTTAAAGACTTTAGCAAATATGAAATGAATTGATCTTTTATTATTATTCGCAATTTTTAGAGGGCCTTTTCTGGTTGCCGTTCCTTAAATTTTAACGTCTCTTCAAAAATTAATGATTTCAAGGCATCTCTAGATATATCATCATTTTCCATATTTATACGGAAGGGTACCTCTGCTACAGGCTACATTAAAGAAGAAAAGAAACGTATTATATGTTATTCGATTTTTGTGGTTTTAATAAAAATATTCAAAAACAAGAAAGGAAAGCTATCTTCGGGCGGAGCCGAAGTTGATATACCCTTGCAGTTAAAACCGGATATATATAGCAAACATCGGATATAGTTGGCCGATCCTTATGAGAATATGATAACATAACCCAATTTATTATAATATAAAATCTAAAAAAAAAGTCCCAAACTTCTATCTTCAAAAATACCAAAGTTGGTATTTCTACCAAAAACCATTTCCGATCGTTCAGTTATATGACATCTATAGGATATAGTCGACCGATCCCGGTCGTTCCGACTTATATACTGCGACTTATATACCTACATTCTTATTAACTCTATAAAAAATTAATTGAATGCATTAATTGAGGAAATGAGCGCACGAGCGACCGACTCAGTCGCACAACGATGAAAGACGAAATAATGGCATTAGAATACGAACGGTTGAAGCTACCTTTCAAAAGCATTCCAAGCCAAGCCTTTATTTTGACAAAAATTTTTTGCAGAAAATGAAATGAATAGTGAAAATGGTATTAAGTGAAAAAAAATATTTGTTATGCTTTTATGTGAAGATAGATCTCGACTCTTAAAAATATTAACTTTTTCTTTTTTTTTAATATTTGTGTACTTATTCATTTTTTTGCTTTTTTATTTAGTTATTTTAGGTATTTTATTTTTTTTACGCTTTACTTTAATTTTATTCATTTTTTTGAAATTCTTGGCCAAGTATGTAAGTGAGTTCGTGTCTTTATTTCGCTTTTGCGTGTCATTAACTGAATTCAATTCAAATTAATTCAATTCGCCGAATGCTGTGAGTGATGCCATGCAGATGTCTAAACCGTACTCAACTATTGAAAATAATTTTTTTTTTTAAATTGAAATATATGAAAATAAATAAAATAAGAAAGCAAAGCTAACTTCGGGCGGAGCCTAAGTTGATTTACCCTTGCAGCTAAGACCGGATATATATCGCAAACATCGGATATAGTTGGCCGATCCATATGATTACAACATAATAAAACAAATTAATTACAATAAAAAATCTAAAACAAGAAATGAAAGCTTACTTCGGGCGAAGCCGAAGTTTATATACCCTTGCTGTTAAAACTGGATATATATCGCAAACATTGGATATAGTTGGCC